TTTTTTTTTTTTTTTTTCTGTCATTTTAGACTCCAGGTACGAATTTTTCAAATGTTTGGGATATCTGGTGGCACAAATTGGAAATTAAGATAAAGTTCACAAAAAAAATCGAACGATCAGAAATCGCTACTGCAATTATCCCAAAAGTCTAATAATAAACTTTATTAATGAAACATAAAGAAATAGAAATATCTCCCGAGCCTTCATATAAATATTTTTTGTGCAATCATTGTTTAATTTCTTCTGTGTTTTATATTAATTATGTGATATATTAGTGAAAAATCCGATGAATTTAACTTCATATGTACAACGATAGACGATAAAAGGGTACGTTAATTAAATTAGAAAGAAAATAGACAGAAATATAAATTCTCTATCTTAAGTTCCTACTAATTTTTACATATTATCAAGAGTAAATAATTTTACTTGTCACGAGTTATAGGTAAAACTTCATTGCAAGATGAACGAAAATCTACAATTAATCGACTATCCCCTCTTTTCGAGTGGCAATCGCAACATTTATATTTGTTTCTAAACAATGTCAAAAAGACTAGTTTAGAGATATTAGTATAACATCTTCAAATTTACTTTATTTTATTTTTAATTTCACCCTTAAACCCTCAAGTAACTTTGATCCACAAATTTTTAATACATACACATCAATTTATTCATATTTTACCAAAACGGCCTATCCATGCTCCTCTAGCCCTAGTGGCGGATTCAGGATTGTAGGTCAATTAGAACAGTCATTAACCGTCAATGATCGTAATAGTAAGATCGTTTATTAATATTTAATTACAAATATTAAAAATTCTTAATATATATGTACATGCACTAAGACATAAAAACCATATACCATTTTCTTTTATCACAAATCAAATTCACAATCCACGGATATCAAATATTCCTAAATTTACAAAATCCCAATTTTTGTAAATAATAAACATGAGCAGTCAGTAGCAAAATCCACTATTTTCTCAAATTTTCGAATTTTACAAAATTTCCAATTCTCAAATTCACAAAAATCTCACAGTTAACATGCTCACAGACATAGTCAGAACTCATAAAACATTAAATATAATTGATAAATAATAAATCAGAAAATGAACTAAATTCTAAAAGAACAAAAACCAGAAAAAAGAAAAGAGAAAGAGATAGCAGACTCACAACAACAATGCATTCTAATGATGGAGATCGGAGAGGCTAGGCATCGAAGGTGACTCATCGACGGCCAGCAGCAGGTCACATCACCACAGTGCAGAGGCTGAATGGAGAGGCATTGAGAATTGAGATAGGGTTTGCACTTTGTAGATTTCGATTTGAAATTACAATTGAATTGTGATTTTTGATTCAATACAAACCATTAAATTGGGCCTATCTTTATTTTATTTCTTCTCAAAAACAAGATGTCCAATTCCAGAAAAAGTCGAAAATTAGAAAAAATACCCAATCTATATGGCTTTCATATTCAATATCAAGTTTCAACCGCACCTGTGTAATTGTGTCTTCAAATTTTTTATATTGAACCAATGGCTCTTGATCGACGACTGTAAATTCCAGTGCAGTCAGCACGGGCGACCGCACACCGTCGTCGGGTGCTGGCTCCGCCACTATCTAGCACCAATTCAATGTCGTAAATAAATTTAGAAAAATTATTGGACTAGAACTATAATTGTAACGTTGTTTCGGTTTATTTATGAAAAATATATTTAATTAAGGTATAATATGATATAATAAGTAAAATTTGTGATGATAATATATCCTATTTCTATTAACAACTCTCCGAACATATGGCGTACGACACCAAATCCTTTCCCTCTCTGTACTTCTCTAACCAAACCAACTTATTGATTTTCACGATAATAAACATAAAAAAAAATAATAATAATAATAGAGAAAATAATATGAAAGACCAAAAATATCCCTATATGTAAAATGAAATCCTTCGAAACAAATATTCCGGAAACATCTTTTGTTTAAAATATTTGTGTCTGTAATATGTTCAACTTAGCCCCCTTTGGGCCCCATTTTGGGAAAATGAAAATGAATGGAATAGTGTTTTTTTTGAAAAATCAGTGGTTGAACAAGAAGAAAAAATTTTCAATTTACGTGTAATATTATTTTATGGAAGATTGTGTTGTTGAAAATAAGAGAAACAGAAATGAAACGTAATAGAATTGAAATTAATGGGGCCAGACGGGACTTAATGAATTGTTCAACACTTAAATAATTAAGCGTATCTGATACATGAAGAAAGCTGTCGAACCACGTCAATTGCATGGGAAAATTTACTTAATTAACTTTGACTTTAATTAATTTCAATAAATTGCTAAAAACAGAATCTGATACATGAAGAGAGGAAATTTTACTTAGCTTTGACTTTAATTAATTTCAGTAAATTGCTAAAAACAGATCTGACAACAGTGATAAAATGACAATAATATTTATAATTTACCATAGTCATTACAATGATCCTTTAGCTTTTCGTTAGTTTGTTTAGATCATATTCAATAAATTTAAACGATTTTCTCTATTTTAAAGAATCAATATTTAAAACGAGATTCAAAATTATCTAATTTAACCTTTTAAAATGGAAAGTGAATTTGAATTGATTTACCATTAATAAATCGCATTCTAAAATGAAAAGTTTAATATCAAAATAAAGAGCATTGTATAAAAAAAAAATTACTCGCTAAAACTAAAGATGTTATCTATTATACGTAAAATGTTCTGACTGTTTCAAAACGTGATCTAGGCCTCGTTTGAACTCCATTATTTCCTCACTAAAATGAAAAATATGATCGTTATCCATCACATCAAGTCACCATATTTGATTTTTTATCTTTTGCGTGGGACTCATAGTGACTATATTTTTCATTCTCATTTTTACAATAATGTGATTCAAACGGGGGCCTAATAGTTCATCATACAAGATTATATAATCCATAACTATTCAATAAACACCAGCATACTAAAAAATGACGATCCTCAACCATCGAGTCTAACTACACAATCGTGCAATTACATTGTTTCATCTTTATTGAACTATCTCCATTGACTTGTTAGATCTCCTTAGCAATAGAACACGATGTTTGAATTTTTGAAATGACTAGCAGTGTACCCAATTTCAATTGGATTATCTCGCTTCGTGCCAAAATGACTTTCTATTACGGTCAAAAGTTGTTGGTTTTTTAAGATGATATCTAGACATCTTTATAAATAATCATGGATAACTCTCGTGATTGCTCAAAGTGTTGATGAGAACTTGAGATTATTAAGAGGGTGTTTGGGAGTCATTTTTATGTAAAAATATATTTTTGAATAGTAAATTGATGGAAAATGTGTGGTTGAAAATTAAAGAAAAGTTTTTATTTAAGTGTAATATTATTTTAATAAAAAATATGTGGTTGAAAAGAAGAAAGAAAAAAATGCATTTTGAATAAATGGTATCAAACGGGGCCTAATTATCTATAACACGAAGTTATTAGGGTCCGCTTGATTGTAAAGATAGAATTGAATTGTTTGGAAAATGATTTTTAAGGAATTGAATTACCTAAAAATTGTTTTCTTGAGAATTGTAAATTATTGTGTTTGATTGATATAATTTTTCACATGAAAAATGTTGAAATAAAAATATTTTTTTGGTGTTTATTTGGTTTTATTTTATATGAAAATTGTCAATTAAAGGGATATAATTTACTGGTATTGAGGATGAAATTTGTTTTCATTGTCAAAAAATAAGAAAAAAGAAAATTATCTATCTTTTGGTATTCGTTTGACATTATTTTACATGAAAATTGTCAATTAGAGAGATATAATTTTTTACAATAATTCTTAGAATTTGTTTCGATCGTTAAAAAAAATGAAAAAAAAAATCGCTACATTAACCTGAAAAACAAATTCTCACCAATATGGTAAGAATTCGAATTCAAGAAAAAGATGAAAAATACTGACGTGATGGTCAAAGGTGGAAAATGAATTCCTTGAAAAATTTTGTTAATCAAATAGGCCAAAAATGAAAGTTAGAATTCGTTTTTCATTTTTCCAAAAAAATAAAGGAATATCAAACAGCCCCTTAATATAATTAAACACTAAAATATAGTAATTAGTAATTTTAATGAGAGCCACAAAGTTCCAACTCTTCTTTGGTAAAGATTAAAATATACTAAAATTTTTAAGTCAATTTATTTTAATAATACATTTTATGTAATTCATAACTTTTTAACAAAATTTTTTTTTATAGATTTTTATTAATATCTATTAATCAGATCTTAATCTACATCAAATATGGAATTAATATATATAAAAATTAATTTCAATTTTTTTTATTTTACCATTTTTTTCGAATGAGACTCGAATTCAAGTATGATACACTTCATTCTCATCGTTCGAACTCAACATTGACCTCTGTTTGATGAAAATTAAATCAAAATTTTAGTAATTTTTTTATAAAAGTTGATGAATATATACTTAAAAAATTATGAAATCAATAAAATATGTTATTAAAATTAAATATTGATTTGAATTTAGATTAGCCCAAGTTATAAATTTTAGTAGATTTTGACATAAATTGATAAAACTTATGATTAAAAAGTTGTAAGATTCGTAAAATATGTGGTTGAAATGAATTTTTGACTTTTTGATTTAAATTAAAAATAAAATTTGAATCGATATCAAACATGGCTAAATATGAATGATAATCCTTACCAATCATGGGATTAATTGAAAAATAAAACCTCGAAAATAAATAAATAAAGAATTCACCTCCCGCCTTTTGCTGCTAGTCTAGAGCCGATTAAAAACCGAAACGGCCCTTTCATCAGGGAATAATTACAACTCAACCACTCCTACTTTCAAAACCTGGAACCTTCCGCGAAAGTCCCTCCACTTTCCCGCAAGGTTATTTACGTAAAATCAAGTTATACATTCATATTTCCTATTAACAGTTCATCGGGCATCATCTCTCTATAAAATTATAAATAAACCGACTTATTGATTTTCACGAGAACCGACATAGATACAAAAGAAAAGAAAATAATTTAAAAGACCAAAAGAGCCCCCATTGTAAAACGAAGACCTCCGAAATAAACGTTTATTTTTCCCTCTATCTGCCCTCTCCCCTCTCGAAACATTTTCTTCTATACTCTCTTATAAATTATAGCTTTATTTATTTTTTTGTGTGGTGGCTCAATCTCCCTGTACGGTTGCCATTGGCAGTAGCCGAGATCTGAGATTCACGCGCCTATATTTGATATCACGCGCCTAGATCTAGCAAGGAAACAAGTATGGTGGTGAACGGGAGGCCGATGAAGCGGGTGAAGAGACGAGTTACGGCAGATCTCAGTGACTTCTTCACGTTCCCCATCGGCGGTGAAGTGGCACCTCGTGGTCCCTTCAGAACCAGCGTGAAGAAGTTCCTGCAAAAGAACGCGCTCCTCCCGCCCCCTTCATCGCTCTTCCCTCACCTGCTTACGTGGCAGGTACTCTTCCGCGTCGGAAACACCGTCGACGACGATGGTGGCCCGTCAGTCCTGTTCCTGGACGTTGTGGAAGAGGACGTAGCGAGATCCAGATCCGTGTACTGTGACCAGTGTAGAGTCGTTGGTAAGTTCTTCACCCCGATTCAACCCATTGACTTGCATTAAGTCAGTCTCCCATTTTCTCTTGTTTTTCTCGTCCTAAATAAAAAAGTACATTATAATTGAAAAAGTAAAATGGTTCATTACTTTTTGCTCCATGTTCCCTCGCTTTTTTTGTTCAAGAAAGATATGTCTAAATCAATAGGTGTACGTACAAAGATATATTGGGTTCCATGGACTCGACTGATCTCAGCCGTTTGTTTTAATTTAATCGATGAAGATATGCGTCAAGGAAAATGAATTCAAGCCTAAATATTATAAAGCTAGGGATACAAGCACTGAGGTTGAACTAATGAAGATATTATAGTGGGGCCCGAATTAGCTGGTTTGGTGGAAGGATAAAACAGAACGTGGACTTGAGGACATTTGGCAAGCAAGCACGCTGCTGGGGCCTATTCTTTTTTGATAATTTGACTAAACTAACCCTGTATCGTGTTGAGGATTTGAGCAGGGAATGACCTCGTTTGGAGGTCCCACGCGCACATTTACTTGTTGAGCACGCTGTCTAGTTTGTTAAAATCCTGAAAATAAGCCCCCGTTTGAAATTCATCATTCCAAAATTCTTTAATTTATGTGCTTATTTTCAACAATATATTCACATAATATTATATTTTGCACCTAAATTCAATTTTTTTTTCCTAACTTTATAATTACACATTCTCCAAAAAAAATTCTACTATTCAAAATAATGGCTGGAAGATTGGATTAAGATTAATGCTACATAGGGTCCGCTCTGCTAACCTATAACACTATTCCAGCGCTAACAGATCCTTTAAAATACATTTTTCTTAAATTCATTTTAGTTACACATTGTCTCTCCCCCCTTTTTTTTGGACCAGTAACTTTTCATACTTTTTAGTCTTACATTCTTCAAAATTATCCTTCTTTTACAAAATCTGTTCTCTAAAAATCTACATCAAACAGGTCTATAGTAATGTAGAACTAAATTAATTAGAACTAAATTAATCAGGCTTATTATTTAGCTCCGCTTGATGCAACCAGACTGTGCTACTAGATGATGGGTGTTTCAACAGTGGTGCTAATTGTTTAATTTAATGAGCCTATGTTACTATATTCAATTGGATTTATCACCCAAACGGTGCTGTACTTGTGTTAGATAGCATTATTTTTTAAATTATTTTGCAAGCATGGCATAGTTTTTATTATTGGGGATATTATGTATGTTTGTAAGTTTTTTGATAGCACTTCACCGTATTAGAGATAAAAAATAATTAAGCCCCTGTTTGATCCCATTTTTGGGGAAAAATGTATTATGGAATAGTGATTTATTGGAGAATGTGTGGTTAAAAAGTAAGAAAAAGTATTTGAAATTCGTGTATTATTATTTTATATAGAATGTGTGGTTGAAAATGAAAAATAAAAAAATGCATTCTTATAAAAATGGGGATCAAACAGGGGCTAAAATATATCCATTTTACTTTCATCTTTCAAAATTTTCAGTTATTCCATATGTTATGTAACAAAAGAATTTTGTAGAATACGAGTCATTCTGGATGTCCAATGATTTTGTTTTGATTTATTTTGTGTTAATTGACTTTGATGTTTATAGGGTGGAGTAGTAATCCAGTCAGTGCAAAGCGTTACCATTTCATAATAAAGGCAGATGGCAATTCAATTGGTGGCTACAACAAGACATGTGCAGGCTGCGGTGATTTGCTCCATATGGCTGATTCCAGGTCAGCATTTTTTTTCCATAATTTCTTTTCCATTGTGATCATAACTATTTCAATTGGTTAGTAAAATATTGGTTCAATACAAGTTACTTGTGGACTAGCAGTTGTCTTAGAAACATCGATGAACAGTAACATTGATTATGCGATGCATTATGTTCTTAGAAATTGAATGGAAAATACATTTTTGCTTTAGGAGCACCCATGGATGTTGTGCCTCTACAATGATGCTAATTTTCACAATACATCTATCAGTTAAATATTTGAATCGTTTGCCCCCAGGTGCAAGACATGCAATCATATGATGACTACAGAAGATGTTGAAGATGGGATGTATCACCAGTTAGAGGACACTACCCATCTATTACATGGTGTGGTTCATGCCAATGGTTATGGGCATCTTCTAAGAGTCAATGGCAGGGAAGGTGGCTCTAAATTGCTTTCTGGACATCATATTATGAGCTTTTGGGATCGGCTATGCACAACACTTGGAGTCAGGTTAGGATGCTTACCATTAGTTTTGTTTGAATTCAACATTTTCTTATTGATGGTTGAGAGAGTGATTTGATTTTTCTGTCTTTGCTTTTATGGATGAATAGGAAGATCAGTGTGATGGATGTGTCAAAGAAGCATGGGTTAGAGTTGCGGCTTCTTAATGCCATCACCAGAGGGCACCCATGGTATGGTGACTGGGGTTATGAATTCGGTGCCGGTAGTTTCTTTCTGTCTCATGATGCCTACAAGATGGCAATCAAAGACCTTTCTTCTCTACCCTTGTCCATCTTTCAATCCCAAGGGCGGAAGCCTCGAACAATCCTGCAGGATTTGATTTCATTTTATCAGTCCTTATCAGAGCGCGAGCTTGTGAATATTAGAGATCTTTTCTGTTTTTTGACGTGTTTGATCCATGATGTCCAAAATTCTCATTTGAAAGTTGATTATCCTCCTTGCAAGAAACGTTGCTCTGGTGACTCTAGAGTCTTGTGCGCGTGGACTATTAATGATGTGGCACGTATTGAAGAAGCTATGATCAAGGTGTTGCGTGCCGTTAGTGGGTCCACATGGGTGAGTTGGCGTGCTCTTAGAGGGGCAGTTTGCAAATTGGGCCCCCCCGAGCTTCTGGATTACTGCCTCAGAGAACTCAAGGGGAAGCAGACAGCTGAGGGAATGTTTGTCAATTCCCGTTGCATATCTGATTCTGGTGCAATGGAATACAGGTTAACAGTCCATCTTTGCCTCTGTTTTTTCCCCTTCAATGATGGTTTGTTGGATGAAAGTGCTAGTATTATATTGGTTGCTGGAACTTTGCTTATTGCTTGATATGGCTTCTAAAGGAAGTTCAAGATTTTTATTTGTGATTTTTGTTGTGTATTTTACCTGTGTATATATATCTTTGACATTGGACCATTTACTGGTAATCTTTTATTGCTGCTATAGATTAATAATTTTTTTTTTTTAAATTATTTTATTTTGGTGCAGACTTGAGCCTGGAAGCATGGCCATGGATATAAATTCCACTTCCAACAGTCCTATGAGAAACTATCCTTCTAAGGAGCATCTTCTAAGGGATCTGAAATACTTGTATGCATGCATGCTTCACCCCGAGTCAATGAAGATCCATTTTCCTCCTCTAAAAAGAGATCTTGCAGTTATCTCTGCTACAGCTATTCTGGATTGCAAACAGTTTGTGAAAGATTATAACCCAGAGAAACTGTTATTAGGCTCTAGACCAAATGTGATACAGCTACTGTGTGAGGTGGACCTCACAGAACAATTTGAAGAACACAGCCCAAATCCACCTCCCGAGATACTCACACTGCCTCTAGATGCCACCATTGCTGATCTGAAGAGGGAAGCAATGAAAGCTTTTCAGGAGGCATACGTGATGTTCAGGAGATTTCAGGCCGAAGAGCTGATTGGCTATGGAGGTGTTGATGAATCCACCCAAGTCAAGCTCTTATTAGGTTCAACTGAATTTGTCAGAATTCGAGGAAGGTTTCTGGGGAAAAACAGTTTCTGTAGGTTTAAAACGGAGAGGGGATTGGAGAGATGGACTGTGGATTGCTGTTGTGGAGCTCAGGATGATGATGGGGAGAGAATGCTGGCCTGCGATGACTGTGGTGTGTGGCAGCACACTAGATGTTGTGGAATTCCCGACTCTGAAGCTGTTCCAGCCAAGTTCCTTTGTAACCAATGTAGAGGAGGCGTGAAAACAAGTGGGCATTCGAAGAATGAGACGGTGGATTCTGTTTTCAAGAGTGTGACTAACAGAATCTAATGTGCGCTGGAGATCTTGTAATCTGTAAATGTTTTTTGTCTCGAGGGTTTTGGTGAAATGTGTACATATTAACAAGGCCGGCCCTAAAAGAGTGATTTCCGCGCACACTACTGTTTATTCCCAGGGCCAACTATGGACATTTTCCGTGTAGTTTATTTATTTTATCTCCAAGACTACGGCTGGGTGTATGGCTGCCAGAACAGGATCTGGGTTATTTCTGAAATATTAATTTATGCGTTCAGATCTGTAGGCCTGAATGAATGTGCTATCAATGTATATAATTTGCTTCTTTGTGAAAAAAAAAAAAAAAAAAAAATTATGGCCTCATTATAATTCACAGTTAACATCTTGGGATGAAATTTTCGTTCTTGGAGTTTAGGACTCAAGATATTGTGAGTATTTAAATGGGAATGGAAGATTTGTGTTGTTAACGAGGAATATGTTATTTTCATTTTTCAAAGGCTGACCTTTTTTTAAAGCAAAAGTAGAGCCATTATCTTTGACCGTGGGTCTCACCTGTGAGAGGTGTAGTAAAAAATGATAGAAACTAACGGTAATAAAAATCAATTTTTTGTCCGACTGTAGAGGATTAGCGAAGAAGTTAAGGAATGTTAATGGAAGACAGTAAAAACTCTATATTCCTGAGTACTCAAAATTTGTGTCCCTTAATTCTGGCTCCTCAGAGAAGCTGAGACATCCGAATCGGAGGTTCTTGCCTTCAAAATTTGGTAATTTTTGTTCCATCATCTACGATGAATTCTTCGCATTTTTGTTTTTGTGCGGCCTATGTTATGCACTTGTATAAGCCCTTGTTTGGCCTCTATTCTCTTTTTCATTCTTTCTTGCTCTCTTATTTTTAACTATACAATCTTCCATAAAATAATATTACATACAAATAAAAAACTTATCATTCTTTTTCAACAACATATTTAAAAAAAAAAAAAAACACTATTCCAAGTTCCAACCATTAAAATTTAGAAAGAATGAGAGCTAAACAGAGGCTAAATCTTATTTCTAAAATTTAAATGCATCGTTTCAAATATCACCATAGCTGGTCAGGGATGCAATTTTTATTTATTTATTTTTCACAAGAGTTGATAGTTTTGAAAATGGAGGACTATGATGCTATGGTAATTGAAAGTTGGGGATTAACTTGTTTATTTTTAAAGTTTAGGAACTAATTTGCTTCTAGAGCATTTTATTAGGATCAATAGAGAAATTTTCTCTTTTTGATAACACCCATACAAATTATTTTGAAGATAATATTTGAAAAGACTCGCCGAGATTGATCTGATTTTTATAAAAAGATTTGTTTGAAGTTATAAGAGATTCTATTTATCATTACGACAAATGATTTCAGTCTTCGATTTATTTTACTTTTATTCACAACTTCTTTCTTAATAATGTTTTCCGAACATTTGAAAAATAAATAAGTGTCATTTTTAGGATGAAATGAAAATTGAATTCATGTAACAAGAGAAAATACCATAAAAAAGAAAGAGGGATTAAGTATAACAGAATTGATTGATTAATCTATTTTCTGTTATTCAACTATATTAACCACGGGTCAACTACCATCAAAACTTTTAAAAGAACAAAATTATCATTTCATTATTTATATTTAGGAAAAAGAAAATTAAAACAAAAATTTTAAAAACATAAGAAAAGAATTAAAATAGAAACAAAATAATAGAAAAATGTAATTTACCCCACAACTAATGGTAGCAAGGGGGTGTGGATTTCTTCCCCTTTTCCAATCGCGCCGACAAAATCAATGTGTCTTTTCAACCTGAATGTATATTAAATGAATCGAAAAAAAAAAATTGGAATCATAGACAAATTACGCGAAGAGCAACTTATCTTTAAAAAGAAGCACTAAAGAAGTTTAGTTTTGACGTTGATCTACTTAAATATAAAATAAACTAAAATAAGTTGTGTATTTAGAACTTATTTTTAGCACAAGTCATCGGAAATATTTTCTTTATACAAAAAAAATTGCATGTATCTTAACCGAATTTGTAAGACACGACATTTGTTTCATCCCATGGGCTACTCCCACAACAAAGAAACACAAATTTTCTAGTTTAGAGCTGATTGACAAGTTATGCATGAAAGTATCAAACTTTCTTGTAACAAGTTGTCGAGTTCTTGAGCATATAAATTGTTGATAGATACAATTTTGTGTAATTCTTAAATTGAAGGTGCAATGATGCTACGATGAAGTGGTGATAATGGTGATTATCACTGTTTTTTAAATCTTTATTTTATTTTTTTTGTTTTTATAATTTTTTTATTTTCTTTAAATAAGAATATAAAATGAGAATTTTGCTCCGTTTAAATCTCGAACGCAATGGACCATGAAGTTGATTAAAGAAACATTGAATGGACAATTGATTGACTTGAATTAATTTTCTAAAAAGTGCGCCTAAACGTCGCCTAGGCCCGAGTGGTGGACGAAACGTCACTCCTTGACAGTAAGCACGAAAAGCGGTCAACTATCAAGTTGATTGCTTAGTGTACGACTAGGCGTGCCTAGGCATGCTTTATTAATTTCTTTTTTATTTTTTCATTTTTTGAAAACCTTATAATTGACTTCAGTGCATCTAAACATTACCTAGGCCCGAGTGGTGGACCAAACGTCACTCCTTGACAGTGAGCACGAATTAAATGGTCAATTGTCAAGTTGATCGCTTAGTGTACGACTAAGCATGCCTAGGCATGCTTTAGTAATTTCTTTTTTTTTTTTGAAAACCTTTTAATTGACTTCAGTTTCAAGTTTTTCTTTGAAAATTGTATAATTGATTGATTGTAGGAATTATGAAGTAAATATAGCATTTTATGCTTTTAGATGATTGGTATGTATTATTTAATAATTAAATAATTTTTGGAATGATTAAAAATTAAAATAATATTATAAATAAAAAAATGTATTTTCACCTAAACTTCTCTTAGCTTGATGTTTGGTCTCAATATATAGCCACACTTTATACTTTTTAAAACATTGATAATACCCGTTTTTCGAAAGACGGGTACACCATTGTCCAGAAAAAAAATGTTGGGGCAAAGGTACAAATAAACTTAAAAGTCGAAAATGTTCACTTATTATTATTGAGTTAACACATAGAAAAATTTTGATAATTCAACTTGAATCAATTGATTGAAAGAATCTCTCAAAGTTTATTTGCTACTTTTAAGCTATCATACCTTGATATTTCTTGTGCACGTTCACTAGTAAAAAATTATGAATTTTCATTGTTCTTAGAACACTGTATGTGCATTTTTGTTTGTAATTTTATTTACGATTTTATAATATTGAGGACATTGATGCTCTGTATAGTACTAAGAATGAATTACCTTGAAAATGGTACACAATCTGAGGATTGATGATGTCATTTTAGAGATTAAGTCTTTGTTTGGTGGAGATTAAAATCAGATTTTTAGTAAATTTTTATAACAGTTGATGAAATATGTGATTGAAAAATTATGAATTTCATAAAAATATATGATTAAAATTATTTTTTCACTTTGACTTAAATTAAAATCTTTACCAGGGTTTTGCACCGTACTTGTTAAGTAATGTTTATACAATAGCAGAGGCGATTCTTGAATGGGCTAGAAGCGTGGCAGCCTTTGGGCCAAAACTTTCTCTTCAACGGTAAGCTTGGGCCCAAATTCATTTATCTTTTCTCCCTCGGCTCTTCCCACTTCTCATTTCCGGCTGCTCTGCTGTCTCAATTTCTTGATTTCTTTGTATTTTCTTGGACGAATTATTCGTGGTAGTTTTTGGGGGGATTAGGTCCGAGAGATAGAGTTTTGATTTGACTCAACACAGGTAATTCTTCCAACTTCTCTGACATTTTATGCTTTAAATGCAAGTTTAAACAGTAAATTGAATTGCAATTGGAAAAGGGCAGTAACATGTAAAATTGACATATTCAAGCTAATTAATTAGAGGAAAGACGTTGGTTGTACTTCTCTGCCTAAGAATTTTGGATTTTTATGTGGGGTTTATTTGCTTATAACTTTATATGTGAGAATGCTGGAATTCTTATGCATCGCTGTTATGACAGGAGACGCTAGCTTAATCCTTTTCTTTATCTGCTCGAGTTCCTTAACTGTTTGAAGGTTCTATCCTTAGTTATTTTTCTAATTAATGAGGACTAATTAGTTATTTTCCTGTTTTACAGGATAATTTTTCTTTAAGCTTAGCCGGCAAAATCTCTGGCTTAGTAGATAAACTATGCTATTGACTTTGAGGTGTCGCCTACTCAATCCCCAACTCTCGAAACTGTTCCGGTCCCTTCCTCATCCTCACAAATCCCATCCATCTTCACTGACATTTGGGGCCTCCATTTCTCAACAACCGAATTGCCCCTATGCCTCTGCTGCAAAAGGCCAAAGACCTGCTGCACTATCTGAGTCAGCCAAGTTTGTGCGGACTGTCCTTTTTGTGCCTCCCGGAGTTAACCCAGATGATGTTACCGATGATATGATCCTACCCGGTTCAAATATTGTTCTCGGACCCTATGCTGGTGACGCTAAAGTTAAAGATGTTGACTTTGTGAAGAGTAGTAACCGGCCAAAGGACTGTCCGAAAGATGACCGACCCGAGTTTGCCATGTTGGGTCGGTCCAATGTTGGCAAGTCTTCGCTTATTAACTTTTTGGTCCGTAAAAAGGAGGTTGCTCTCACTTCTAAAAGACCAGGTCTCGATTTAATCTAACTGTTCTCGTTGGAATTTATTGTGTTGCAGTTTAAAGTTTTAATGTTTAGTTGAATATTATGTAGGGAAGACTCAGTTGATTAATCATTTCTTGGTGAACAAAAGTTGGTACATTGTGGATTTGCCTGGTTATGGGTAAGCCTTGAGTTTCCCCTACTTTTTCACTCCGTTTTGTACATTTTTGTGGTTTATGATTTTGTTAGACTTAAATGGATTAGCTATGTTATTTAGTTTTTCGCTATCCATGCGATATTAATGGTCGAAACTCGAAAGTATGATATATTCATTTTATAGGTGGGTTAATTATTTGAATGGTCATTAAACTATACTAAGTGCTATTACTTAAAAATGATCGTAGCTATGCAACGTATTATCCATCCATCACTCAAGTGGGAAAATTCGTTAGGCTCAACAAACGGCATCGACTTGAATGATGGATGGATAACACGGTCATTGATCATTGAAATATATTTTTAAGTTTAATTATTAAGTAGTAACAATTAGTACAGTTCAGTTACCATTGAGATACAATTTTAAGTTCAGTTGTTAAGTATTAACAATATTTTTCTTCCCTCAAATTGACCTCTATGAATGAATAAATTGAAGAAAATGAAGGGAAAAAAGAATAAACTGAAAATCAGAGGTCTATAAATTGAAGAAAAATAGAATTTTTTAGAATTAGGTATCATAGATTTCTGCAATAGATCAATTAAAAAAAGAATTTTTCGAGAAAATATTGATTTTTGGAAATGGTGGTTGGGATTTTTGCAAAAGATTAGATTTATTATTATTATTTATTTATTTATTTATTTTTATTTATTTTTTATTTTTTTGAATCAGAGGCTTCCACAAAAGATAAGATTATTTGTTCACTTTGCAACAAAATTGGATTGTGGAATTGGAGAAGTGAGATTTCTGCGAAGGATTGGATATTTGAAAGTGGGTTCTGAATTGAAAAATTGATCTTTTGTAGAAATCTATGATGCCCAATTCTGAAAAGTTTTATTTTTCTTTGATTTATAGCCTCTGATTCAATTTCCTCTTTTTTCCTTGGTTTCTTATTTAACAAAGAATTGTATCTCAATGATTACTAAACTATACCAATTATTACTATTTAACAATTGAACTTAAAAATGTTTCTCAATTGTCATTGAACTATGCACTGTGTTGCCCCCTCCATTGCTCAAGTTGACGCCATTTGTTGAATCTAATAGATTTTCCCACGTAGGTAATGGACGGGTAATGCGGTGCAAGGTTCAGTGACCATTGAGATACATTTTTAATTTCGGTTATTAATTAATAGCACTTGATATAATTCATTGGCCATTCTAATGATTAACCCTTTTATGAATTTACAATGTTGTTGGAAAACACACATTGTAATGTGTCTAGCAATAGTTGCTTTTGGTAGTGTTTTGTTTGCATTACATATGTTGGACGTCATAATTCATATGGTGTTACACTGTATCAGTAATTAGCTGACCATTTAAGGTCCAAAAATGCTTTTAGCATGTTTCGTGTAAATTGTAATTTTGCTGAAAAATGCCTTGACACTAAAATTGAATGCATCATTTTAATCATAAATTTAATGGCTCCAATTCTATATTGCAAAATGCATGGTAGAAGAGATTTGTAAATTCAAGTGAGGGAAGCTGCAAACTGGCACTAACTAATTTTCAGAAATAGTTTCTGAAAAATTTGAAGGGCATTTCCTGTTCACCTAATTCATACATGAAGTAAAATAATATAGAGTTGTGCTTGGCGTACATAAAATATGTATAGAGGGGTGTGGACACCCCTCACATGGGTGGGACCCGTGCGAGATGGGCCCCACCCGATGTGTGGGGGTGTGGACACACCTATGTACATATTTTATGGTGATATGTACAGAGGGGTGTCCACACCCCTCACATGGATGGGACCGGCGCGAGGTGGGCACCACCGCATGTGTGGGGGTGTGGACACCCCTATATTTTATGTATACCAAGTCTTATTGAATAATATATTAATGCTAAGAAGAGAGAGGTAGTGTGGTAAAAACATACAGCTCCACCTAATATGTGTAGCTTGACAAAAGGACATTGTGTGAAAGCTTTCAAGAGGCATGATCAAATGTTTTGTCGGACATTATCTGTTAAGTTTCTTTCTTCGGGTGCAATGGTGTAATTATGAAGATTCTGATATAAACCAATCAAACCTGTACTGGTTATGATTTTTTGAGTATATTATTCCTTGATGTTGAGATCATCAAAATGGTGGTCCATCCCCTTTATTTTGCAGTTTACATTCCCAAACGCCACATTCTAGTTTTAGAGAGAAATTCTAAGTTTAGCTGTTCTCTTCTATACTTTCTTTTTCTGAGTGTTAACACAACTTGAGAGATTTAGTTTGTACTCTTACCAGTTCTTGGGATTTTTTTGTGTAATTTGACTGTTATTTTACTTCTGTACCTTTGTGATAGGCTGATAGCAAATGTTAAAAGTACGGTTGAGTAATTTATCAGTAATGAATATTTGCCTTGGTACAAACAAGAGGTCTCTCTGATAAGGCAACTTTTTTACAGTTTTGCTAATGCCCCAGAATCTGCTAGAATGGATTGGTCCTCGTTCACAAAAGGCTACTTTTTGAATCGAGAAACTCTTGTCTCTGTCCTGCTTTTAATAGATGCAAGCGTTCCACCTCAGAAGATTGACCTTGATTGTGCTAATTGGCTTGGTCGGAACAACGTATGCGGCTTCTATTCTCAAATAACCTGCCTCTAGTTTGATCATTGTTACAAATCAAATGCTGTTATGTCTTATGATTTTCCTGCTTCTTCACCTCGACTTTTCAGATCTCCATGACTTTTGTTTTTACGAAGTGTGACAAAATGAAAGGAGGCAAAGGAAGGCGGCCTGATGAGAACATCCGAAATTTTCTAGAGTTGATGAAAGAGAACTATCGGCAACATCCTCCATGGATCATGACTAGCAGCATTACAGGGTTGGGCAGAGATGAACTTCTTTTGCACATGTCACAGCTTAGAAATTATTGGGACAGTGAAGAGACTAATTAGAATGTCAGAAGGATGTAGCAATGAAGGTAAGCTATAGTCGCCATGAATTTTAATTTTTTGGCACGTCCAAGATGTCCTGAGCCTGTAGAAAGTAGACAACTGAATTTTCACATAGCTGCTTCTTGGTGTATGATAAGTTTTTGTATCAGATTTTGTTGACCAAATGCATATACCCACAACATAAGCCTCAGCATTGGATCTAGGCCATTGTTACTAGTGTGATATCGTCTTGTATAATCTTATCGGCTCTTTTACAGCCTATAAGCATTTCTCATAGATAATGACAAAATTTAGAAAACATAGAGATATGTTTGAACTTATTTTGTGCACAAGCAAATTTGTTATATATGCTTGCAAGTAAATATTAGTCAGCTTACTAGGTTATGCCAACGGATCCCTGACCATCAAACCTTGACATGTTACAATTTTTCATCTTATAGTTTTGGAGTAGTCAAAAGTGGGTTTTGAGACTAAAGAAGCTTTTTTTTTGGTCGATATGGGTAATTTTTTGTGAGTGCTTTGTCTACTTAGAAGTGTTTTAAAGGAAGCTGATAAAAGGTAATTGCCTTGTGCAGCTCTTCTACAAAAGCAGAATGAGAAGTAAAAACTATACCAAGAGTATAAGTGGTTTTATGGATAAATATGCATTAAGGGGTTTATGGGTTCATGTACAGAAGACATAATGTACTATTTATAGCCTAAGAGCCTGTTTGGGAGTGATTTTGAGAATTGATTTTTTGACCGTTAGGAGAAAAGTGGGATCACCTGTGAGAGAAGAAGTAAAATATGACGGCTGGAGTAGTGAAATAACGATAAAAAATTAATTTTTTGGGCAAAAGATTTACTCCCAAACAAGCTGTAAATATTGTATCGACGGCAGCTGAATAAAGCCGATAACTTTATGATAGGATCACAGTGTATTATGCGGCACAATTAGGCGAATGGTCATGTGGATTTAAACTTGGGATAAAAAATATTTAATTAAATGCTAGTGAATCATCTGGACATGTATTACTGTTTTCAGTCGATAATGTACTGTTTTCCATGATTTAGGCGCTTCGAGGCATTAGTAGGTGAGATTGTGATGCTATCGTTCCTTGAACAAAGAAAGAGGTAGGTTGTCTGGTCAATAGTTGGAACACACAGCAGAACAATATCAAAACTTACTTGTGAAGTAGTAAATATCACCAATATTCAAAATCAAAGCCACTAGACATTAATTTTGAATGTAACATCATTACATTACAAAATGCAAGGCAATACATTTGTAATAATTAACTCAACAATCATGAAAAATTTGTCAACGGATGGAGTTAGCTGCATTTGATCATCTAAATTATTGAACGTGCAAGAATATCTTATAAATTGACAGGGGCTAAAACGTATTCATGATGGAGTGAAAATTTTTATATATATATATATATATATATATTATTTTTTACAATAAAAATTGAAATGTGCTGAAGCCGAGGTCGGCCTTACCAAATTTGCTATTGATGGAGTATCGATCATGAATTCATGAACTCCTTCACATTGTACTCTCATTTGATCCTCGGTCGTAAATTTTTAAGCGAAAGAGACAAGAATTGATTGTAAGACTATTCTCCGACACTATCGGACGGTTCCCTACCAAAGAATAATTTTCTCTAAACAACTATGATTTAATTTTCTTATATACTTAGGGATAAAGAATTAAAAATACTTCTTAAAAAACAAAGTGAATACGAAAGTAGCAATTAATCTTAAAAAGCTGAAATTAACAAATGATAAAAACTGAAACATGGAGAAGACCTTCAGTCAAGGAACTCTCATATATTTTCATAATAATTAAGACAAAATCTAAAGAGGATACATAGAATAACAGAAATACGAATCGAAATAAATCTTTGGTACATAAGATTATGTCGATTTCAGCTCTTAACTTTTATTTATTTTGGAGAATAAACAAAATTAATTATCAACAATACAATGGATGTTACATTTTACATTTTTTTAGCAATAATATTAATATTTATATTTGCTAAAACATTAAATTTTACATTAATTAAGAAGCAATTATTTCTCGTTTTTCCCAACTTCTAAAATGATATTCCTTTAAACAACTACCAATCTTCACCTAGGGGTGACAATCGAGCCAAGCGGCCTGCTCGCTAGATGAGCCAAACCCGCTCGTGGGCTTGTAAAAAAAGGAAACCAAAAAGTCAAAAAAAAAAAATTGAGCTCGTGGGCTCGGCTCTTGGCTCACGAGCTCTCGGCCTTTCGGCATGAGCTCGAGCTCGGTTTGTTCTTGAACAAGCTTGAGCTAGTGGGTAGATAGGTCGAGCTGAGCCAACGCAGTCTTCACCCTTCAAACAATAAAATATACAAAAAAGAAAGTGAGAATGGGCTCTCTCTCGTTGGCATTTGTACAACCAAACACGTAAGAAGTAGGGTGTAAATGGTGGGCCAAGAGGTGGAGCACTATATGGGTTAATGGCTTTTCACTGTTTGGACTTGCAAGTTATCAATCTTTTTACTTGGTAGAAGTCAAACCACATGTTTGACAACTCTTAGGAACCGTTTGATTCAACAAAATTTTTCCTAGAAAATGGAATTTGGATTCCAACTTTCACAAAAAGGGTGTTTGATAGCTTATATTTACCATGAAATTGAATTTCTTAAGGTGTGTTTGATAGGGTGGAAATGGAATTGGAAGATGGAATTGGAATTGGATTTTCCAACTTTAGGTGTTTGATACATTTTTTTTCCATGGAATTCGAATTCTTGGTTGTCTTGAAATTTAGACTTTTCTTGATTTTTAAGGAAAACCAACTCCCACCATATATGGTGGGAAATTGGTTTTCCCACCTACTGTAGTATTTTTATTTTTGTTGGCAATGAAAACAAATTTTAAGAATTATTGTAAAAAAATATTTCCCTTTAAATGACAGTTTTCATGTAAAACAAAGTCAAATGAATACTAAAAGATAGATGATGTTCTTGATTTTTTTTTGTGTGTTGGCAATGGAAACAAATTTAATCCCCAATACCAGTAAAATCTATCCCTTTAATTGATAATTTTCATATAAAACAAAATCAAACGAACACCAAAAAATACTTTTATTTCAACATTTTCCACATGAAAAATTATACCAATCAAACACAATAATTTACAATTATCAGGAAAATAATTCTAGGCAATTCAATTCTCTGGAATTCGTTTTCTAGACAATTCAATTCCATCTTTGTAATCAAACGGACCCTTAGATTTCTTGGAAATTGCACTTTTCCTTGTTTTCAAGGAATTTAAATTCCCACCAATAAGGTGAGAATTCAAATTTTAGTCCACTATAGCATTTTTTTTTATTTGGTAATGGAAACTAATTTTTAGAATTATTCTTAGAATTATTGTAAAAAAATATTCCCCTTTAATTGAAAATTTTTATGTAAAATAAAGCCAAACAAACACCAAAAGATAGATGATTTTTTTGACTTTTTTGTTTTTTGTTTTTGTTGGTAATGGAAACAAATTTCATTCCCAATACCAGTAAAATCTATCCCTTTAATTAATAATTTTCATGTAAGACAAAGCCAAACGAACATCAAAACACACTTTTATTTTAACATTTTTCACGTGAAAAATTATACCAATCAAACACAATAATTTACAATTTTCAGGAAAATAATTTCTAGATAATTCAATTCCGTGGAATTCGTTTTCAGTTCAATTCAATTCCATATTTACAATCAAACGGACCCTTATAAAAATGATAAGCGAATCCAACTTCATTTTTAATTGTACATTTTATTAGACGCAATATATTTTATCTATTTTTAAACGTGGTAGGTTCAATTCCATTTTCAAAACGATGGGTACCACCGAAGGGTCAACTGGTTGCTCAAGTTGAATAGAAAGAGTGAGGAAATGTTGATTGAATTGTTCTTCTTCTTGTATTGGACATGCATGGTAGATGGGGCAGGTGTAGATTGGTGGCCGTTCTGCACAATGAAAAATGAGGATAAACAATAAGCAATTATTTATCTAGTTTGAGGTAAGAGTAATTGAAACGAGGTGGAGCACTTACAATTTTGATAAATGATTTTCCCTAATAAAAGTGGAGGTCGTAATGGAATTATGATTGATCATCAAAGGTTGGAGCACTTTCAGTTTGATCAATGAGGTTGTCACAAGTTTAAATACTAGTATATTTTCGCGCCTTCTAGAGGAGTAATGCCAGCTATTTGGTATTTTTCGTTGATTTATGTGACAGTATGATCATTTTCATATTGTCTAATAAAGTCGAGATACATTTTTCTCTTTTCAAGTGGCAGTGCGATGGTGTCTTCATTGCTACATAAAAATAAATAACATTATTCTCATAATTTAGGATAAGGCAGTTAGAACATTTCCTAGAGACTTTTTATTTATAAAGAGTATTTTAAGTATAATAGAGAATGTCTTTAAATTTAAAGTATAAAGTTTTTTATTCACTACAACAATGATTTTTATTTTGTTTTTCTAAAGATACATTTATTGATTTCTATTCTCCTTTTATTTTTTTATATATCAATGACCAATTAATTCAAATATGATTTAAATAAATTATAAAATAGATTGATGAAACATAAGTGCAATAATAAATAAAAATAATAAGTGCAATACAAAAATTAAATGCAACAAAAAAAAGTTGGAAACATAAGTGCAATAATAAATAAAATTAAAAATTTTAGGTGCAGTTAAAATATGATGCAATGAATATGAATGCCTGATATTCACCTTTGGTATGCAATACAAGTGAATCAGCTAATCCATTTTTATACTTTAAGAAGTTTTTAATAGGATATTCATCATTTCAATAAAAAAGAAAGTACGAAAATGAAGGTATTGAGTATTTGAATGAATATAATATTACTTGGTTTATATAACTCAACTCACATAAAATTATATATGTAGATCACATCAAGTAAGTTTATCTATATTTTTAACGTAAAATTTAACTGTTAATGTAAAAAGTTCTTTAATCCGATGGATATTTGTATTTATTTAAGTAACATTAAAGTAGTGAGCATTAGAATGTGATGAATGATAGCAAGAAATTTAACTCGAATTATGTAGATCTCATCGAGTAAGTTTATCTATACTTTTAACGTAAAATTGACTCGTGCCATAAATCTTTCATCAGTTTTGACTATAAAACCAAATAAATTAATAAAAAAAAAATTGTTACATCGTCATTGCATTAACTCTAGTCGCGCCCGTGACAAAGTCCACACATAGATTGCTCATTGAACATTGCATTGCATGGCCACCCTATTTTCTGCCCGTCGTTTTCGAATAAATTCTGTCAGTATAAAAGACAGCATTATATATATGTATATGATCCATTCAGGTCCAATAATCGATTTATATTTTATAAGCTAAGCAGAAGTGGAGATATGCAGAGGAAGAGCAGCAGCAGCCGGAAAGAGAGCAAAGTGAGACGGTTGATTAAAGCCCCGATTAGGGTTCTGTCGAGAGCGAGGGATTTGTACGTCCAAAGCCTTTTAGGTTGCACCGGAGAAGCTCATTTATCAGTGGGGTGGCCTGCAGCACCACAAGTACTCACAAATTTGCCAAAAAGCTTCAGTGTCAACTCATCATTCTCAAACAATGATGAAGTTCTCTATGCCACGAATATTAGGAGCCTCGCCGGAAGTATCAAAGGGGACGACTCTCTCAGGAGGAGGAGACACCAGCCGGAACCAAATGTAGTGGGCCGGAGTCCGACTGTTACCATTGGAAGGATTGATGAAGACAAGCCCTGTGAATTCGGAGAACATGTTGCTGTGAAGACCGACTTTTATCCAGAATTCAGAAGCTATTCAGTGTCAAGAAGTCCGATTTTGTAAGCATCAACATGAGAAGCTTGTTTGGGAAAAATTATAATGAGATTATAATGGAGGTGAGTAGTGATTCCCAATGTATAAAGAAGTAGCAGTTAAGAATTTGTGATTGAAATTAGTATTTGACTTTGTTTTATATTGTAAGGTGATTATAATGAAACCCAAACAAGTTAAACAAGCTGCTTCTCTTTAATCAAATTTTTAGTAGATTTTGATGGAAGTTGATAAAATGTGTGGTTGAAAAGTTGTGGATCCCACGAAATGTACGGTTAAAATTGATTGTTAACTTTGATTTGAATTCAATTCTTGATTTTAATTACTATCAAACAGGGATGTATTTTATTTTATTAAATTCAGACATCTTCTTAGTCCATTTTCTTTAAATTATAACATACATGTCAATTCAAATAAGTTTTTTAGTATTATATTTGTCGTGCTAAAAAAATAAATAAATTTAATTAGCCTATATTCATTGCTACATCCAAGTGGGTATGTACACAAAGTGCATTATATTGCTTGGAAATAGTATAACAAAAGCATCTATGAAATACTTGTTATTTTTGACTCTAGGATAAGACCCACTACCATGCTATTTTTGACTCTAGGATAAGACCCACTACCATGCTAAATTTAATTGGACAATGTTACACGTATCGAATTTTTTTATCGAATTTTTTATCAGTAACTCACAACAGGGGACCACATGTCCGCATTTTTAAATTCACGTGGAGTCTACATACATTGTGAGAGGGGGACACCATTCGGTACATATAAAATCATCGAATTTAATTATACTGATTGGTATAAATTTCTTTATTGAAAAACTTGTCATTTTAATGTAGGTATTTGGCATATCTAATTTGCAGTCTTGCTACTTATTTATTTAAGCACCAAGAACATTATATGGAAAAATTCGTGTAATGTAATCCCTTCAGTAGCTAGAAATTAGATTTTTAATAAATTTTGAGTAAAGTTGATGAAATATGTGATTGAAAAATTAATAAAAGTTGTGAGTCCCCTGAAATATCTGATTAAAATTAACAGTAATGTAGACATCACGAGTATTAAAGCACCACCTTATGTGGCTGCACACAATTGATCCAATTAAGTGGGTTTCATAACACCACATTTAATAGAATAATCAAATTACGTACAAGTAGATTTATCCATAATCAAATGCCATATTTATGCCATACAGGGTAGTGTTGTAGCACCTGTAATATTACATAGCATTGTTTAAAATTAAATACTGACTTTGACTTAAATTCTTATTAACTTTTTAAATTATACCAAACAGATGCATATCTGGATGAATTGCATTGGCATTCCCAAACCTTTCAGTAGTGGAATAACAATTCCAGACGTTTAATTATTTTACAGTGCGGGATCCCTTGGACGGCTCTGTCCAAAAAAACCATGAGTTGACCCAAAAAAGAGAGAGAGAGAGAGAGGTAGGGGCTAAAGAAACTTTCCATGAATGATAAACAAAAAAAATAATTCTATTCGTATCGAATTGGGGGTATCGACTATCGAAAGTTGTCCCCTCTCTCACAACGCACGCGGCCTGGCGTGAATATAAAAATTTCCAAATGTGGCCCCTATCCTCTATTGTGAGTAGTAGATAAATGATTAGGTAAAAAAATTATGTATATGTAACATTGTCCAAACAAAAAAGCTAAAAAGATATTGATTCATCTACTGCACCGGTCGTTGTCATAGACATCGTTGTCGCCGCCGCCACCACCACCATCACCAACCTTCTCTCACACCATCCACTTCGACTATCATTGGCTCCACCCACCCCAAGCCAGCTATCAGCTCTTGCACATCCAATTTCACAGTAAACTTTCTCAATAGTACAAAGTTATGCTCACTTTCTGCACTATTACCAAAAAAATCGAGCTCCATCGCTCACATTTTGTCAATTTAACCAATCGTGACTTCCCAATTGATATTTCTGGCTTCAACAGACACTGGTGGTCAACTTTCTTGACTTCACGCTTACAGCATGATCGTCTCATTTTTCTCCAACTTCCTGTCGCTGGATAGAATCTCCTTTATAAATTTGGTATAGCCAGGTATTTGGACTGGGGCATAACCAGCCTTTTTAGACGTATCTCTTATAGTGGCAAACAACTTCTATTGATACATTAAAGTCACATAAACTTTCTCCATTTTGTACGTTTGCTCAGGGGCTATTCCAATGGATCCGTTCGCTCACCTAATGTCCATTAGGTTCCTTCTTAATGCGAAACTATGTTGTGGTCCCAACTATTCGAATCTTTGAACTTCCCTTAAGAGGAACTTAAGTCGAATGTCGGTACCAATTGAACTAAATTCTGAGATCGTATCTTTAATTTTTTTCTAGTTAAATTACCAGCTTTTAATATTTGATCTAAACAAATAATTCACATCTCAACTCGTTATCATTCACAAATTAATTGAATCAAGCACGGTGATGATGACGATGATGATACACGACGATATATAGAAGCCATATCTTTATAATAATCAAAAGCAAGGATTTGAGATAAAGCTATACTGTTCATCTTGACTATGAATTTAGCTAAAAAAAATGAAAATCATAGTTAAACACAAACAAGAAGTTAAGTACGTTAAGAGTTCAAATAAGAGTAAAAAGAAAATTTCAAATACAACTCGCAGAAGCTTCAATTTCTTCCCCTATGCAATCTTCAAAATCCATCTATGTTTGTGCACTCAAAAATCTAATTTCTGTCCTAAGAAAATTGTATGCTCGAGATTTTCTAATTTACTTGTATTTATTGTAATCCACTCCCATTGAAATTCACGAAAAAATTTACCAAAATTTCCCTTCTTTAGATCAAGCGCAATCCAATTTGAAAAACTGTTTTCTTAATGAAAAAATTAGAAAATACCTTAAATTTGAAATTCTGAGAAAAAAATTGTTTCGTGAAATTTTATTTCATAAAATTATTCAGTAAAATAAATTATTTTTAGATTAATATATTATCAAGTAATATACATTTTAAAGTTGGTCAACCTGACAATTCTTTTTCACGATAAAAGTAAAACACAAACAAAAAATAAATTTAATTGAAAGAATATGGAAAATAAAAATTAATGACTTAGAATGAGAATTTTTATTTTTGTTCATTTAAATGTATTTTTTAAAATTTTTATATAAATAACCACTAGGAGTTTGAACCTTTTTTTATTTTTCTAAATTTTTATTTTTGGAATTTTAGAATTTTTTAGAATATTATTTTCAATTTTTTTTTTAGAATTTATCAAATTTTTATTTTTTTAGAATTTCTTATTTTTGTTTTTTTATAAGTTTTAATTTTTAGAATTTTATGTAAATAAAATTCTATTTAAATATTTATTTCCCATATTTTAAACTTTTTTAGAGTTTTCACTACTATAAATTTAGTCTTGCTTTCGAAAATGTCAAACCAAACGAGTTTGGGGTGTTTTCCAAAACTGGATACAGTTTGAAATAACAAGCCAAATACAACCTTAGTTTTTGCCCATTTTTCAAATTTTCTCTCAATTTTACCTTCTTGCTATCGTAGATATGATTGTCACAAAATAATGTAGATTGCTAGCCTAATTAGCATTCAAGTGAGTTACCAAGTCAATTATTAATAACATATGATAAAAAGGTTGTAGTGAAGAGCAGTGTTTTAATAAACATAAAGCGTGGATAGACCTGGAGGCAAAACTTCAAGCTTTACGAACTAGAAGTGAGCCTAGATGAAGTTTGAGCATAAAAAATAACATTTTCTTATTTTTAATTTTTAACCATTTAATAATTAAAATAATACACACCAAACATCTAAAATTGTAAAATACTATATTTATTTAATAATTCCTATAATTAGTCAATTATACAATTTTTAAGTTTTTAAAATGTAAAAATTAGACCATTTTTCGTAGTTTCAATTTTCAACTAGATAAATCTTATCTAATTGATATATAGGAATTTTATACATGCTTTCAAAATTTTCAACAAACTAATAATTCTCAAAATCATAATTATATAATGTAGATAATACCATAACTTAAATCTTACTCTACTCTTTATTGGATAAATCTTTATTATTTTTTATTTTTTTTACCTTTGTACGTATAAAGTCTTTTAAAAACTTGAAATTAAAGTCAACTAAAAATGTTTTTTTTTTTTAAATAAAAAAATTAATAAACTAAAGTCAAATAAAAGAACTTTAAAAAGAAAAAAAGAAAAAAGAAAAAAATTAATAAATATCTTTTAAGGTCAACGAAAGAGCAGAAGGAAGAAATCCAACCGTTTAGAATTTGAAAAAAAAAAAAAAAAAGGTCAACACATGAAGCGAGACGTTGTGTCCGAATTTTGAGCCTAGGCGCTGCTTAGACGAGCTTTTTAGAACATTGGTTAAGAGTATGCTTTATGCACCGAATACGATGTTTAGCAACAGCCCAATGTGCTCAGCTCAAAGAAATCGCGAGCAATATCATGTCGGGAAAAAGAGATTTTGCATGTCTCAAGCACAACTTCAAAATTGAATATCTTTCATCTCTAGAGTGCCATCATTGATGTAAGAACAAAGTACAGATTGACGCGTGTCACAAATTGTTTGATCAATAAGAATATAGCTACTCTTACAAAGTAACTTTACAAAAGTGAAGATATCAAGTGTGTTGGCAAAATGTAGATCATTGATTTGAAATGATTTAAAAATTTATTTTTGAAATGATTGGTGTAGATGTCATTTTGTAACCTAACTTTGTAATCTAGCTTTGTAAGTGTAGCATGACTCGATCAATAATTTTACTTCAACAAAGTTGAGTTACAAAAGTGACTTTACAAAGTGTGTTGGCGGAATCTAAACCACTGATACCAAGTGTTTTGGTGGAAAAACAATTCAGCCAAAACAAGGAAAAGAGGCGCGTGGGAGGGGAGGCAAGAAAACTAATTGTCTGGAAATTTTTGGCAATCAAACAAGGAAAAAAATGGGAGTTGGAATTCGAATTCCATTTAAAATGGTTATCAAACATACCCTTATATTTATGTTGGGAAACAAAGACATTGGAATCACCTCTATACCGATGATGCAATGAAGATAACTCAGATCCTTTGTTGAAAATCGAATAGAGAAGTGTAATAATAACATGCTAAATGAACGATGAAGAGTTCCTT